TACAATAAGGCAAGGCAAAAAAAGGTCTTTAGAAAGAACTTGTTTATGGCATGAAACCTAAATCAAGCCTCTTTCAAACACACTGGGCAGAACACCTGCTAGGCAGTTTGTGGTGCCAGGAGAAAAGCATGGGGCTGGGGGCAGGTCGGAGGGCGGACAGGGCAGGGAAGAAAAGCTGAAGGCTCCCGGCACCTATCGTCGTGCCAGGGGAATCCGGGTGAGTTTCCAGCAGGCAGCCTTTAGGGGAGGGAGCTGGGGATTCATTCTCCAGTGGAAGTGCCAGTGAAGTTTGTTAAACAGTTGGACAAAATGGTGTTTTTAAGACTTCAGGCATCACCAGAGCAACCCCCTTAGGGATCCGCAGTTCGCACTGTAGTGCATATAGTGACATACAGCGATTTCTAAAAAAAGGGTACAAAACAAATGGCACAAACTCCCGAAGCAGACCTCCCCCGAGAAGCGTGCGGCACAGGTTCCCGATGCACCTGGGAGAAGCAGGGAGCGTGAGCTGGGATTCAAAATAGCTGAAATGTCTCAATCACATACACTCTCAGCAGAACCAAGGAGAAAACGAGGGCACTTGTGAATGACAGAAACTTCAGGAGCTCACAAAAGTTTGTCTCACTCATCAGTTGAAACTACCCAGTCAAAAATTTGGGGTAATAATTTTTGTCATACCGTTTTTTAACTATCACTTTCTTTGTTTCCTTGTCCCATCAGGGATTCTAACCAAAATGTCCTGGCAGGTGCTGTCAGTGAGCATCGCATCGCGTGCTCTTTCTGTTTTAGCCCTCCTGGCCCCGTTCCCTTTGGCCTTTGCTCACCCCCGAGGCTGCACCAAGGGTGCTCAGCTACAGGGGGACACTGCAGGGTGTCATGAGAGCTGCGGTCTATCCAACGAGGTAAAAAAATTACCATGAGAGGCACTCACATGAAGAAATATTACAGCTCAGGTGGGAGCAGATTTACATCAGTCTGATCCAAACCAAACATTTCTTTACATTTCTGAATTTTCCTGAACTTCACGTGTTGCAAGAGTTGAAATTTTGACTTTTTGTTCCAAAATAGGGCAAAAACAAATGTTGAAATATTGGCATTTCCCATAGGAAGGAAATTCCATTATTTGAGCAGCTCTGTGAAACACAAAGGAGGCTCATTTGCAGAAACTCTGCTAACTTGGAATGAAGGTCACAGCTGCATAATTGGACTCTGCTCCCTGGGCTAAGTGAGCAGTGCAGGATATAAAATTAATCCCAACCCCCAAATTAAGGTTACTGTAACAAGGAGAACAAGACCACAGAATTGCAAAATCCAGGGAAGGAAGGGCTGAAGGATTGCTTAACATACAAGAAAATCACATCTTTCCCTGCTTAACATACAAGAAAATCACATCCTTCCCTACGACAATTAGCAACTGGGAATATCCCAGTGGCTTTCTACGCAGAAAACATCCGTGTTCCTAGGACAGGTCTAGGTAAGGAAGGCTCACATACATCCTCGGGTCATCTGCGTGTTCAGGTAACAGGGCTGCGCACGCGCGCGCCTGCGATTCATTACCGCATCCTCCTTAATGGGATTTTTTTTCAGCAGTTCAGACAAATTGAGCCCTTTCAAAAGGCTAACGCACTAAGTGCTTGTTGGAAGACAGTGAAACCTCGGGACGGTGGACACAGCCACCTGCAGCCTCAGTGCCTCATCCAGGTTGTGTATAGCAAACTGAATTTGCCGTAACTGCGTGCTAGCAGAGATTCATGTGTGGGTTTTTTTCCTTATCGTTACATTATGAATTAACACTTAGCCCATCTTTAGGCGTTTTGCTTTTTAAAGATCCAACAGATAATCAATGTCTTAAAAAACAAAGAGATGCTAAAGAAGTAATTGTTCTACTGGAGCTGCAAACCTCTCTTTTAGACACACAAACCCTCTGTAAAAATCTGTCTCAAGAGTCCTTCGCCCAGAACTTCGCTTATTTAGGACCGAGGTCTTTCCAAGTCGGGCACAGGTACAGACTGAGGGTGTGTTTACAGCGGGCGTGGGTGCAAAACAAGCTGCCCTGTCCCTACGTAACATTTTTAGTCTACTTGTGAGATTAGCGTAAATCATTTTGAAAGGTGCTTTGTGGAGAAAATCACCAGGGAATTTCCCTGATTTGGGAAAGCTGTTCCAGGCTGTTTCCCAACAAGCCCGCCCTTTATCTTCAAACGGCTATGCAAGGACAGCATCAGAAGACCCTTTATAAGGTGACTAAGTGACGTGAGGCGCCGTTGCCATGCCTTTTCTCATTGCCTCTCACGAGGGTGACGTTGTGCGGTTCCTTTTCACCCGTTGTTGATAACTTCCAGTATCGCGTGGCCTCTGTGCAATGTGGATGAGCAAGGGTGCCTGGCAGCAGTGGAAAGAGGAGCGGCTCGGTGGGGTTAGCTCACCGTGTGGTTTGGTCCCAAGGACTGCTCCACCCTGGAAAGGCTCTGCCTGGGCATCAGGCACCTCCATCCCAAGGGAGCAGAGCTCTTCACCTCCTCCATAGCTTCAGACTGCTGCTCCGTGTCCTATTTAATAACTCAAAGGTGTCTGGAAATTGCCACAGGTGCAAGTTGAAATGAAACATGGAAAAAGTTGCTGAAGGAGAAGGTTTAAGGCATTCGTCACTGTGAGTTTATAGCTAAAAAAGGCTTGCAGGTATTAACCTGGGGATTAAAAAAACTGGGTAGGACTTAGTACAGATTCTAGGAGCCAAGCTGAACTTCAGGCATAGGAAGTGGAAAAGGACAGTTATTCTCTGCTAGCCAACCATGTCTCCCTGAGGCAGATTCAGGGAGAAACGCGCAGCAGTTGAGGGATGGCCAAGTGCGCGGCAGCTCTGCCCCTCTCTGGGTAGCGTCAGAAATGCACTTGTCCAGGCAAAGAGCGCTCTCTGCTCCTCACCGGAGCCTCCAGCAGACAGCCAACAGCGAAGCCGGGTACCCTTCTGTAGGAAAAGCTGCTGGCTCAGCCACTGAGAGAAGCAAGGGCACAAGGAATAAGAGAGGTCCTTTCTATGGGACTGCCCCACCAGCAGCCGATGTTGCGGACCCAGCAGAAGGAGCAAAGGAGATCAGCCGTGTACCAGGCTGCGCTGCCCCGATTCGCCTCCTTTTCCTTCTGTGGCTGGGCTGGCTCTCAGCCACATTTCTTCAGGGGTGTTTTGGGTGCACGGTGCAGGCAGAGCGCTGGAGCCCGTTCCCCGTAACCACAGACATTCATTTTGGAATAAAGTTATCTTCTTGTGTAGCCCATTCCAATACGCGCTTTGCTGAGAAGGTGACTGAAGCTCTGCAGGGTATAGGGCTTGGGCTTCCGTCCCCGGCTGACACTTGCGTGACCTGAGACCTCACTGAACTTGTGCAGCCTTCAATAGGAAGATTATGCCATTTCCTCCATTTACACCTGAGCAACTGAGTCGCGTGAAGACCAAGCAATTTGTCAGGTGCAGACAGTGTGTCCTTGTCTCCTGATGCAGCAATGGCCTGTGTCCGTGCTGATTTGGCAGATGGAGCAAGTTAAAACAAGGGAGAATGACAGAGGTAGTCAAGACCCCAGGCTCCAAATGGCCTGTGCAGTGAAGTCCCATCTAATCACTGTCCTGATTTACGGCTGGACTCAATGATCTTAAAGGTCTTTTCCAACCTAAATGATTCTATGATTCTATGATTAATATCTGCAAAAAGCCAGCTGGTGTTGGGAGCTGCTCCTTGTAACCTGGGCTGACGAGGTCTAGCTCTCCTCTCCCCACAGAGTCTGATGGGGACACAGGGCTGGGGATGATTGCAGTTGCAGGACTCTCTGTCAGGTGAGCCTGACACTTTGGCTTTGACTTCGCTGGATGAGTTCAAGCTCTGTGGCAGGTTCTAGCTGCAGACACAACGCACCGTTGCTGGTATGCTGAAGCTGGGGCACACAGCCAAGCCCCTGCACCGGTGCCAGCTGAGTTAAGGAGAGGGCTACTGTCGGGAAACAACTGATGTGTCCCCTGTGAGTCACGTATCTGGTAGGAACAGAAACAGAGGTGCTATTGTAACCTTGGTGCTGGGGCTTGGGTTTTGGACATAATTTTCCACGCTGCCCTATTCAGAGGCCGGCACTGGCTGTGTGGTGCTCACACCTGCAACCTGCCTTGTGTTTTTGGCATAGTGCATTAATGGAAATTTTGAAATGCGGGACTTCTATCAAAGAAACTGCAGCAGGATTTAAGAGATCAATGAGTAAAGGTAGTGGAAGTTTTGCCCACTTCCTTGAAAGCAGAGCCTGGCTCCCTGCCGGACCGTAGCGCTGACATATTGCCTTTGCACGCTCAATGAATTGATTCCCCGTGTGACTTGCCTAACACTCCGATGGGAAACGACAGCAATTCGGCTGCGGCACAGACACATGTCCACCCCCTCAGGCTGGTCTGGACAAACCGCAGGGGTGTCTGGATCTCTGAGGTCCTGCTTACACAGACGGGACTGGTGAAAGTCCTGCCCATGCAGGGTATCCAGCTGTTGCTGCTGGATGGATTTCGGCATGCGGCCACCCGCGTGGAAGGAAGAGACCAAGGGGCAGGAGTGGGATGGGGATGAGATCTGGTTCTCATTTAACAGCTTGCCCTGCTGCGTTACTGCTAACTCTCTTTGCAGCTCGTGTGAGGAGGCGGAAGAAAGTGCAAACACACGAGTAGCGTTCAATCCAGTATGGACTGTATGCAGCGCCATGGTGACAGGTGCTTTCTGTCCTCTGGTCTCCTGCAATCATCGAAGATTTTTTCAGTCTCCTCCTACATGCCACTCCCCCACCCCCTGCTGCCATGTATCCTGAGCATATTACAGTCTTCCTTTCCTCTCTCAGGAGGTACTGCTCAGAGCTCTCTGCTAACGCTGCACCTTTCTAAGGAGAAAATCCTGCATCCTGCCTTTGAGCTTAAAGAATTAAAGAACACAACAACTCAGAATAACCCCCCAAGACAAAAAAGACCCGCTGCCCTTCCTGCTTGATGACCGGCACTTGTTCCAGGTGAGTGGTTTTGTCAGCAAATCTGAATGCATGAATGAAAGTGGTGCCAGTTCCAGGGGCTGAAGCAGAACAGGAGGATGGCAGGAGTTTTCCTGGGGCATATGCATGAGAGAGCAGCAGGGATAGCTCTCGCCCTGCTTTAGGACAGGGGAGTGCTTCAAAAGTGGGACTGTGTGTTCTGGGCTGGGGTGAAATGCCTGGTGGGCAGCTAGAGAGAGACAACCTTATCACAGGACCTTAGCATGAGTAGGGAGCAACGGGGAGAACAGCACTTGTCCTCCCAGTATTGAACTTAGGCCCCAGCTCATCACTTTGTCACTGTAGAGCTTAGCTGGGCTGAAATTCCTGCCCGTTGCAGATTCCCCTCCCCGCAGCCGGTGCTCTCTCACAGAGGTGGGTCAGTGGCTGGACCCTGGGCAGATCCGTCCTCCTCCCGGGTCCATTGGCGTGGTAGGAGTTGGCTGGGAGGGAGCTGGCTGCCAGGTAGCGAGTGGAAAATGGAGATGCCCTGACACTTCACTGAGCAGAAAGCCCTGCCAGGGGCTGCTATAGCAACACAAAGATGGCTGAGTTCACCCCAGTTGGGCTTGTGAATGGAAATTTTCAGCATAGGCACTTTGGCTGCGTTGCTTTCAGCTTGTACTGCCCTTCCCAAGGGCAAGCAATGGGCCAGGCTGCGAAGGATCCAACAGCATGAGGAGTCAGGATGCCTCAGCCAGCGGGTCTGTGAGCCCTCTCTATTCTGGTCCTCAGGACTGAAAAAACCCCAGCTAATAGCACAGTGGCTGGATTCAGTGCTCCTGACCCCAGGCACTGAGCTACTGATAGGGGACAGGGAGGTGGGAGCGGAGACACCCGCTCCTCCTTTGCCAGCCTTGCAAAGGCGATCCCTGCAAAGCACCTCTCGTGCTCAGCGGGTGGTGGAGGGACTGCAGCTTCCTACTCTGGAGTGCCAATGATCTGCCCAAAAGCGAGCAGGACTTGATAGCTGCTAACTGCAATTGTCAGGCCACCGAGCAGAGTCCTGAGGGCGAAGCGTGGCCCTGCCTGCCTTCCCTTGAACAGCCTGGCACATCCCTTCCTCGCCAGCAGAGCCTCCCCTCCCGCCACACAGGGATGGGCTCTTTAACTTCTGCCCTCTCGCTGGTGACCCAGCACCAGCAGCTGCCCACCTTGGAACGCCTAGGCCAGCTTGCTCAGCCACCCCTTGCCTTGCCCCTCTGTACCTGCCTGCCTTCTGCAAAGCTCCCAACCCTCTCCTCCTGCAGAGATTCCTCCCTCTTCTCCTCCCCCTTAGGGTGCTTCCCTGCTGCTACCTGTGGAGACTTCCCTCCTTGAAAATCCTGCTGGTTTGGATGTTGAACATAATAGCAGAGTTTCCTTGGAGACAAGAGAAACAGTGGGCTCAAAAGTGCTGATTATTGCACAGTCTCTGGCTGGCTTTCAGCAACGGAAAAAAAGGAGAGTTGCATTCGCAGAGGGAAGAAGGAGCCTGGGGCAGCCCTCGGAGGGGGGACGCCTGACTGACAACGTGCTTGGCCACTGTCACCCCTGGAGCAGCAAGGCTTGCCTGAGCACAACGCTGCTCCGCGCCCCGGGCAGCGGTGTGACAGCACACGCTGTGCTAAACACCACTGCTTTGGGATTGTATTGCCGCTCTCCCCCCAGTCCCTGGAGGCTGGTAAACCTGGGAGAGGCTTTGCAGCGGGCATTTCTAATTTGGCTGATTGCTGCCAGTCCCAAGAGTAAAACTGAGTAATTAGATTAACCCCTTGTGTGTTCTTCTACTCAGACATTAGCAATAGTGGGACGATGACGTAAAGCACCAGCATTTCAATCGTTGTCTCCCATCCCTTTGTTCTGAGTAGTGGCAACTGGGTTTGTCCCAGCCGAGGGCTTGAACCCTCTGGAGACTGGAGCTCTCCTCTGCTTTATTGGCCACACAGTTTTTTGCCTTCCTTGGGGTTGGTACGTGGTATTTGGCTGACATCTCTTGGACACGTTAACAGTCAGAAAGCCGTGCCAGCGGGCGATACGTAGGCAGAGGGAGCCAGGCGCGGGCTGACTGCTGATGCTCTGCCTCAGGAGAGAACAAAGTGCGGTGCAAGAAGGCAGATGAAGTCTTCACTTGAACTTTGCGTTTACTTTCTCCATCCCCACACACCATGGCAAGAGTGCCCTGTGAGGCCGTATCCTGCCAGTGGCCAGCACCTTCCTTGTCCAGAGGAGGGTCTCACAGAGGACCCACTTGACTGATGGCTCCCCCTCTGCTGAGCCCCCTGGCGTCCCCGTGATCTGTCCTACAGCCACAAATGGCACTTGGCCACTTCCATGAAGTAGCATTTTCTTGTTTATCTTTCAGTGTGGTGCAAGAGTGCTGTGCAGGGGTTAGAGGGGGAGAGAAGAGTGGGGAACCAGGCCGTGGCCCTGTACTAATTATAGATGTAAATCAGCTCCAGGACACTGCCAGGGACGGGGTGCCTCAGTACTGTCTGAAAAGTCCTGTAAAGCCTTGTCTCACAGCACATCAGCAGAAGATGGAGGGATCACCGCATGGCTGAGGTTGGCAGGGACCTCTGGAGGTCATCTAGTCCAACCCCCCCTGCTCAAAGCAGAGTCAACCACAGTCGGTTGCTCGGGACCATGCCCAGTCAGCTTTTGAATATCTCCAAGGATGGAGACCCCACAACCTCTCTGGGCAATCTGCTCCAGTGTTCAGTCTGCCTTACAGTTAAAAAGCCTTTCCTTATGCTTAAGAAGAATTTCCTCGTACTTCATGTCCACCACCTCTCATCTGGTCACTGGGCAACACTGAGAAGGGTCTGGCACTGTCTTCTTTACACCCTCCCTTCAGGTATACATTGATAAGATCCCCCTGAGCCTTCTCTCCTCCAGGCTGAACAGTCCAGCTCTCTCAGCCTTTCCTCATCAGAGATACTCCAGCCCCTTCATCATCTTCGTGGCCCGCCCTTGGACTCTCTCCAGTGTGTCCATGTCTCTCTTCTACTGAGGAGCCCAGAACTGGACGCCGCACGCCAGGTGTGGCCTCACCAGTGCTGAGCAGAGGGAAGGATCACCTCCCTCCACCTGCGGGCACAAAGGCAGCAGAGTTTCTGGACCCTGGTGCTCGTCCCACCTGGGACCTCCAGAGAGCTCTGGGGTCCCAGGGGTGATGTATTGGACGGAGGCCCTAAGAAAAGGCTGCACTATTGTTAGTGGTCTGCAAACATTTAGTTTCATCTGGACCATGGAAAGCAGTCAAATGCATTTCCTCTTCACCCAGCACAGCCTAACCCTGGCCGTTGCCTGGACAAAACCAGACCAAAGATCTTCTGCAGTTTCCCCTCGTGCCCAGAAAGCTCACAGCCCCGTGACCCCAGAGGCCGTTGCATGTGACTGGAGCGAGGGCAGAGCCGTGCGCAGGCACGGAGTAGATTTAATTCCCCTAGGCTTAAATGTAGTTTCTGTTCCTGTTCGGAAGGAGCGCTAAGGCATGCCAGGCTCTGCTTGGACACTGAGTTTCCCCCACTGGTTATAAACCTAACAGTGAAATGGGTTCTCTGCGGGCGGCACAAACTCTGTCTGTCCCCCTGGCCAGCACCGCTGCCCTGACCTCTTGGGATCTGTTTTCCACGTGGAACTGGGCTGTCTCTTAGCTGTGTAGCCCTGCATGTGCAGATGCAGCCCATCTCCTCCAGCTCCTGCCCTCAGACGCAGCCCTACGGATGCACAGCGCTGGGCACTACACTTCACCAAACCCTCCCCAGTTTCAGACACCATTCCCGTCGGGCTCTGCAGGGCTCCCCCACACACCACGGAACGGGGAGACCGAGAGCCTACGTGCCTGTCCAGCGCACAGAGCAGCCTCCTGCCCCACTCAGGAGAAACTCGCTTGTGGGCGCCCATGAATGCGAACCGCCTCAGTACAGAAGTGCAAAATCTTTCGCCGTGTGAAAAAAACACTTAAGATTACAGCCTGCTTCTTGATGCTGCTCTTTGAATGACTGAGTGCAGGAACATTTCAGTGATGGCAGCTTTACTTTAGCCAAACATTGGTTGGTTTTTTTCTGAAGCTCAGTCTGCATCAAAAACAAAGTAAGAAGTTGAAGGCTTTCGCAGTTGCTTGCTTAGAATCTGAGTTAAATGCAAAATTCCTTCAGCAAATGACTTAAAATTTGCCCCAATAATTTCATTTTTTTCTGTTATTGTGACATAGCAGATGTGCATGTGGATTTGAGTACTAAAAAAATCCAATTTTGAGCATTTAATGGTTTTGAGCATTTAATGTTGCAACATAAAAGCTGTATTATTCCCCACAAGCGTAATTCCTGCTCTGGCACTTTCACTTTATCGCAAGACAAAGTCTGAAATGTCAATGCTATACCCTCAGGGACCAACTCCAAATACCTGGCCTCCAAGCAAGCCTTGGCAGGGAGCTGCGGGGGCTTGGAGCTCCCAAAGGGAGTGGGAGCGGAGCACAGGCAGACGGCCGGCAGGGAGAGGTCTGCACGGCAAAGCCGTAGGCACGTGGTGCCAGAGCAAGTCAAGCAGGGCAGGCCTGGGGATGGCACCCGTCCGCTCAGAGACAGTGCGCTCTGTATTTGTAGGTGTCGTGGTTTA